TTTTCGTTTTTTTCGTTTTTTTTTTGTTTTTTTTTTTTGAAATAAAATGAGATTGGTATCTGGCGCCCCTCCTCCCCCTCAAAAATGTGTTTGTTTCCGTTACGGTCCTGGCAGCTCTTGGCATGGTTCCAGGGATTGGTTCCGGGATTAGTCAGCTCATATCACATGATATCCCGCCGTAGGAGATGCATACCGTACCTACACCGGCACGTAGTAATAGTAGGTACTCTCAGCCCTGTCCCTATTGTACTGTAATCCCCTTCCTCCCTTCGTCTTTCTCTCAAACGAACGCAGTAGTAGCGTACAGATTGGTAGCTACGTAGGTACTACCAAATCCGACCTTTTCCTCAGCCGCAACACTATTCGCACTCGGCATAACGTTCCTCGTTCCATGAAACATGATTAATTACACACACACACACACACACACATATATATATATAAATAAATAAATAAATAAAAACTTGTTATTCTGATGTTTAGCGATAGTGCTAATTCACCGAATCAACCCATGAAACGCTAGCTTGTTTTACCGCTTGTTCTATTCCAGATCCAATTTGAGTCGGATTTGACTTTGTTGGGGTTTTTTCAAGCCATCTACTACGTATATCGGTTGGATACAAAACCCCTTTTAGAAATTGGTGTTTCGAACCATATGTGAAAACCGCGGATGTTAAATGATTAATCTTGAAGATGGGATGCGTTGATGGGTAATCGTCGGTTTCCTTAAATTTTAATTCGAAAGAATTGACCGACTTGCTGTAGCAAGTCGGCACCACCAAGGCGGGACAGTAACGGTATACTACTTCTTAAACAATAACTATTAAGATAAATAAGAAAAAAAAAATCTTTACGTGCTTAAAAAACTTTGCTTTACAAACGTGAATTGAAACTATAAAGATGCGTTCATTTGTGGTGATTCAATATATCGAAATGTAGTGAAAACATAAGTAATAACTGTTCCAAATAATTCAAATTTATTTGTCTATTGCGAATATCTTAACAACCACAACCTTGATTAAGAAGAAAGTCACACGGATCGAAAATAAATGATTTAATCTATTGTATATTATTAGAGGTATTGACTACTGAATCAAAGTTGATAGTGATGTGTTACGGTAATGGGGAGGCTCCAGGTCACGTGGAGGTTATAGGACGACACGCGTACAGGTTACACGTTCCCTCGTGACCTCAGGCTCCCGTCTTGGCAAGACTACCTCTAAGACCTCTTCTCCCGCACTTATTCTCTTCTTTTCCTTTTCATCTTTCTTTCTCATTACAGAGCGTACTCTTAGGTAGCAATACAATCACACTGCCTTCGACAGCCGTAACATGATGCACGTATTTACTTGATAGGTTTGAATAAAAGTCCGATTTTGATGTTCCTCGCTTATTCTAGTATATACCCGGAAATTCTGATAAAAGGTAGGTACGCACAAGTAAAGTCGAAAAGTATATATCAAAAGTACTATTTTTACTACTTTGACCCAACACAATAAAGGAATAACAATCTATAATTGAAATTTTAATGGATTGATAAATAACAAACTCATTAGAGTGCATCTTTCTATACAACAATAATTACGATATAATCGTCGGCAGATTTTCTATTCATTATGAAGGAGCAAATTTTACTGTCCCGCCTTGGTGGTGCCGACTTGCTACGTACAGCAAGCCGGTCAATTCTTTCGAATTAAATTTAAGGAAAACCGACGATTAGCTTTCGTATTTACTAACTACTCCAGCTTTCGTATTGACTACCGGTACTTTGCCTTTGTATACGGGCATCCTTGACGATCGAAAAGACTTTTTATAGCTCGGCATCGGAAGTACTATAAGAATTCGATTCGAAGCTAGCGCAGCAAATCCGGAGAGTTTTGCTTGGAAGTCGGCATAGGAAATAGAAGCGAGAGGAGGGATTGCATTCGAGTCTTGATGTTTGTATTCGGCTGTTACCGCGAAAACTTATTAACGAGTGCAAGAATTGAGACCTTGAGCATATTGGTGTTGGCTGTCGATCAGCTTTCGAAGCTCATAGGCTAAGTAAACGAGCTTCGGATTTATCTATGTCCGCTCGGGATTGCTGAACTAGGAAGGCCCACGGTGGTGTGTTTGAAGCTTGGCAGATTAAAAGGTAAGATCCGCGGGATTGATTGTGTTAAATCGGAGAGGTGCGCGCAGCTTGGGATCGCTGGATGTATTGAAACCGAATCGGGAAGGACCGCGGTGGTATGTCTGAAGCTGGCAGATCGAAAAGAGAGGTGAGGTGCAAGGCTCGGTGTAGCTGACAATCAAAGAGAGGTGTCAGAAGGCTTGGTAAAGAGTTTTATGTACGGTATTTCAGTCTGCGTGATTGTATTAAGTTTGCAATCAAGTGCAAGCTCTTGTCAAGAGAGTGAGGCTCGAGAGGCAGCGGTTCGACGAAGGGACTGAGAGATGTGGTGTGGTGCTATTGCAGGCTTGGTTGTGGTAATACGAATGTAATGTAACGAGGTACTTAGGCTTGGTCGCAGCAGTTCCAATGAGGTGGTAAAGCGAGGTGCAAGAATAAGGATCGCAGCGAGTCGGTAGCTTGGCCAAAGGAGGTAGTCTCGAGACTAGAATAGATGATGATTGGCCTTACTGTATGCTACGGCCAGAATAGAATACTTAGTATTGTAGTATTATCTAATCGTACTTGTACGCTTGGTATTGAGAAAGTAAGACGAGGAGAAGAAGCACGAATACAGGCTCCAGGTACTACGTACCACGGTACAGGCCTAAGTATTACCCCTCGAGGGTGCCTTAAAAGTTTAGTTTCCACTTTAAAACCCCTGTTTTCCCTACCCTCGAGGGGTAATACTTACGCCTGCGACGTAGTACTTACTACTAATTCACTCATGAGCACTCGAAAGGTAACCAGCCCCCTGTTCGATCGATCGGGCTACATTCGTCTGAATATCGACATCGGCATTGACATCGACATCGACAACTTTCTTCGGGTTATGGTCCGTTCGGCCTCACATGACTCGCCTCTTCACATCACATGTTCTTGACTTGAACCTTGATCTTGCATCCGTCTCCTGTTTCTCTTTCGCCATCTCTCCCCCTCCGCCACCTCAACGAAGGACTCTGTTCAAACACCACAAGCGAATTGCCCTCGAAACTCCTACGCCCGGCAATTATGGCCGCCGACTGAGCTCCAGCAGCGACGCCCAGCATGTCCACAGCAGAGATTCTTCGCTCGAGGGAGGTGTACAGGTAAAGACGACCTGCCCTTCCCGGAAGAAATCTCCTCACACAGACAGATACTACCAACCAAAGAGCGTTGACGGTCATATCCCAGAGCCTATTCCCGTCCGCTACGATCAAGCCCATGGCCCTCACTTCCTCCCAAAAGTGACTAACTTCAACACCCAGCAGTCCTTCTCCGATACGGCTCTGACGGCCTTCGCGCAGCTCATAGCTCTCCGCCTGGCAGCCCAACGAGCCATCGTCTCTCTCATCGACCATGAAAACGAATACTTCCTCGCCGAATCTACCAGTACATTGAGCGTCAGCGACGATGACGGCGCGCAGAATGCATGGCTTTCCATCAGCGGAGCGCGGGTCGTGCGCGGGCAATCGCTGTGTGAGCAGACTCTGCGACTGAAGCCTAACCAGGACACAACGGCAGAGATGACGCCTTGGTATCTGGTGCCAGATCTGCAATTGGATGAAAAGATGAGCACGCTTGATTGCGTCAAGGGTGTGCCATATTTGAGGTTCTACTGCGGTGTTCCTTTGACGAATTTGAATGGGGTCAACATCGGCTGTGTTTACGTAGTGGATGACAGACCGCGGACGGATTTCTCGCTCGAGCAAGCTCAATTCATGACGAAAATGGCAGCCACGGTTATGGACCACCTGGAGGGTATCAGGGCAAAAGAGGATATTGTCAGGGTCACGATGATGAGCCAGGCTCTGCACGCTTTTATTGAGGGCGATGGGACCATGGATGGAGACTGGCAGCGACTGAAACGATACAACCTTCCATCCGGCGCAGGGGTCGGATTCCAATGGCAAACTAATCGGGACGACGGGACTGGCAGCTTCAGGAACGGCCAGAAACAGCTGGGAAAGAGCCGCAATCTCTCAGCGCTGGTAGGTACGAGCCCAGTCGAGTCTCCACTACAGCATACCTTTCCAAGTCCAGATGCGCGCTTCACCTTCAATAACTCTCCTTGGTCATCTTCATCTGAGGTTCCCCAGGTGCCGCATCTAAAGTCCGTCTTTCATGCCATTGATGATCCTGCGAGCCAGCTAGCTGGACGCCATGATGATGAGTTTGCCAATAATGGCTTTGCTACACGCCTGCACGATACCTTCTCACGTGCGTCGAATCTGGTAAGAGAGGGGATGGAGGTCGACGGAGCTGTCTTTTTCGATGCGCCTTTCAGGTTCTATCAGGGCAGGAGGACTCTCGAAATGGACCCCCGCCGGTCAGAGGATCAGGAGTCGTTGGGTGAGTCCGACACTGATTCGGAACCCGATACAGATGACAGGTCCAGGCCCGGCCCGAACCCTTTGATACTACCAAGTGGCAGTCCCAGCTCCATGCATTCCCGCCATACTACGGCCCCTGAGAGGGGAGGAGCATCTAGTAATGTCCCACCTGTGGGCCTCAAGTCAGACATTTTGGGTTTTTCGACTCGACATTCTTCGTCATTAAATAATGCGACGAATCCCCCACGCACGTTCACCGCCATTGACCATAGTCTTCTGACTTCCCTCGTCAAAACCTATCCTTTGGGAGAGCTGTTTGTTTTCGATAGGGACGGGCCCATTTCCCTTGACTCTGCCCCGAATTTCCGTTCCCGCGACTGCTCCGTAGTCACGATTGTCAACTCGGTTACAGAAGACAAACGAGCTCGCCGTGCCGCTCGCAAACGGGCAGATATTCTGCGCCTTCTGGTTGCCTTTCCTGGAGCCCGCCAAATATTCTTCGTGCCACTGTATGATTCCACCTCGGGATGCTTCATAGGGTCGTTTGCCGTAAGATAATAGGGGACCATATTCTTTCCCTTTTCATCCAGTCTCAGGATTTGATCCCGAGACACTGTCAACCCGCTTCCGAAGTATCCGTATGGAAATACTGATCTCCGTGATCTAGTGGTCTACGTCCGCTACTCGAATTTTCACTGCTGAAAACCATCTTTCATATTTGATCGCTTTCGGACATTCCGTCATGTCGGAAGTTTCTCGGCTGAACACGCTCAGCGCTGACCGCGCCAAAGGCGACTTTATTAGCAACGTCAGTCACGAACTGCGAAGTCCGCTGCATGGAGTCCTTGCTAGTGTGGAATTCCTGGCCGACACCGTCCTTGACGGATTTCAGAGAAACCTTGTTGAGACTGTTGATATCTGCGGTCGAACATTGCTCGACACCATCGAGCACGTTTTAGACTTTAGCAAAATCAAGGAATTCGGGCAAGCAAGTGTGCAACCCATGGGCGTGGTCGCAGATCTCGATGTGTCCGCGGTCATCGAGGAGGTCCTCGAAGGTGTTTACTCTGGCTTTGAGTTCAACGGCCTCGCCTCCGAAGGGTTGGCAGACACGACAAGGAGTCGGACCAAGGACGTAGACCACGCAAAGGATACAGCGGACAATGTTGTACACAGAGTGCTACCTACGGTGATAATTGACGTTGATTTCAGATCGCAGTGGAAATTCCCAACTGTGCCTGGTACCTGGAGGAGACTTGTAGGTTCGGGGCGCCGCCCATATTTTTTCTTCCCGATTCCAGAGGCCGTCTCATCTTCCTTCTTTCATTTATCTCGTGCAAAGGAAACGAAATCTTCCTGGAAATGCAGCTGCCAACTGACTCTCCCGTGTGTTTCTTCCAGACGATGAACATCTTCGGCAACGCGCTGAAATACACGCCATCGGGATACATAAAGGTCAAGATCTCGGCGCATGCGATGGCGGATGACCTCCACACGAAGAAGGCTGGCGCGGTTGAGAGAACGATGGTCACGTTGACGGTTACCGACTCTGGAAAGGGGATGTCGAAGGAATTTATGGAGAAGAAGATGTTCATGCCGTTCTCGCAGGTTTGTCTTGATTCTGCGCTTCGGCTTGGTAACTCTAGGCTATATCTATACGTGCTAACCCAACAAAGGAAGACGTTACTGCCCCCGGGACAGGCTTGGGTATGAGCATAGTCAAACAAATTGTGGATCTGTCAGGCGGGGCAATTGATATCAAGAGCGACCAGAATGCCGGCACCGAAATCACGTTGAGCCTGCCGTTGGAGAACTGTGCACCGCCCTCCAAGGACAACGTACAAAAGTCAGACTCGCTGTACACGAGGGAAGACCCTGTTGTATCTGTTCGTCGTCGGGTGGGAGGCAGAACGATCAGTATCCTCGGCTTCGACGATATATCTGGGAAGTCGGGACTCGAATGCGAAGCCTTATTTAGTCTGAAAGCATCGATAGCGAAATATGCAACCGAATGGTTCGGGTTCACACTTGTCGATAGCACCGGAGCAGCAGATATCGCTATTTCTGATGAGTCTGTTTACAACAAAGGAGCCGTGTCCGCAACTTCCCACCGCATTTTACTCATTCTCTGCAGTAACAGCGCATACCGAGCCATATCCCCCTCGCTAACCCACACTGGTCAGATCGTGGAATTTGTCTCCAAGCCCTGCGGGCCTCACCGGCTCGCTAAGGCCTTTCTGAATTGTCTAGACGCCGAAGATGGAACGCCTTATACGCCAATGGAAGAGCGGGTAAGTCAGGATGGACCTGTTCATGTATTGCCAGATAGTGTGGGGGTGAATACAATTCCGAGCAGTATTCCGCAGAGGCTGATCGGAAACATACAGTCATCGATCGAGTTCGCACCAATAACGCTGAATTCTATCCACCAAAGCCCGACTTTCACAAAGACTCAAACTCCTATCGCCGTCGAGCCCAAACCGGCTGATACGAGACCACTGCTTACGAGACGCGTTGAGACCAGCGCGACGACGATTGATGCTGAGGGTGCGAAAGCGCTAGATGGACTGGGTTTAAGGGCGAGAGGGCAGAGCTCAACGGATAATTTTGGGGAGAGCTCCCAGGCTACTTCTGGTGATAACTCTGGGAACAGCTCGAATGTCTCGGGGGAGAGCGTCGCGGAGACGGATCAAACGACGCCGCCCAGTAGTAGTACCTCTTATGTGGAGGATACGAACACGCCAATAGCGCCTCGACGGCCGGTCATGCTGCTTGTCGAAGTGAACATCCCTCCTAGCATCCATGTCAGGGATAGGATACTGACAGTAAGCAGGATAATCCGGTCAACATGATGCTACTAGCAACTTATATGAAGAAAAACAAATGGGAGTTTGAGAAAGCGACGAACGGCCTTTTGGCCTTGGAAGCATTCCGCCGTCGGTCCGGGGGTTTCGATGTCATATTCATGGGTATGCCTCCCCCTACCTTCCCTGCGTTTCGGTCGGCTGGCTAACAGGCGTGCAAAACAGACGTCTCAATGCCAGTAATGACAGGCTATGAAGCAACTCGCCACATCCGCAACCTTGAAACTGAGCGACGCCTCGCCTACGATCAACAATCTCCCATGTCTTTCCCTAAAGCGACCCCAATTTCCTCTTTCCCGTCCAACTCCTCTCCCGGAACCCCTTCCGCCACATCTCCCAACAGCATATTCCCTACCTCACCGCCCTCAGCTTCAGCCTTCGACCCAAGCATTATCGACCGGCGAATGGAGCTGCCGAAGAGCAATAGCGCTACGCTGATTATTGCGCTGACGGGCTTTAGCAGCGAGAAGGACCAGGAGATGGCGTTTCAAGCCGGCGTGGACATATTCATGACAAAGCCTGTTCGGTTTCGGGAAGTCGGGAAGATTTTGGAAGGGTGGATGAAGAGTCGTGAGCAGGGTGGAGGGGAGGAGGATCTGCTGAGCTTGCGGGATGGGAAGAGGGATGGCAACAGGGTTGTCAATGAGGATGCGAGAGGCGGGGAGAGGAATGGGTAGGCGGGATGGGGTAGGGTGGGCTGGCGTTCGGGAGCTGGGCAGTTGGAGAGTTGGGGAAGAAGAATTGGCTATAGATGGCTTGCTAGTTGTATATGTTTGTAATTATGTAGTAGCGGTGCGATCCAGAGCTGCCCCCAGCGTCGTATGGATGCATGTATATATATGTATATATATGTATATATGTGTATGCAGTCGTACTGGATGGGTTTGATACCAAATAAATCACAAAGACATTTATTTTGACGTGGGAAAATTGTTCGAGCCCCTTTCTTTTCTTTTCTTTTTCATCTCTTCTGAAGTCAACAGAGCTGTCCCGGCGACTCGATATCTTGGTTCGATTCCCGCTCGGTAAAACATGTTTCCTTTAACTTATATTTATATATATATATATATACTCCTACTTGTCTAGCAACCCTGACGTTGTATGCTGCTGGTGATTCAAGGGAGGAGTGAGTGCTCTGTGGTAGGAATTGTATTCATTGGCTTTTTACTGGGTGGTGGGGCTTATTTTATGATCATAAATATTTCCCTTTTTCTTTTCCTTTATTTTTCCTTTTTTTTTTATCCTATATTTTGGGGGGGGGGGGGGGGAGGGGGAGGGAAGTAGATTCTGGGAACGAAAGGATGATCGGATGTTTTGTTTTGTTTTGTTGATATTACTGATAGAATCAGGAGTGCAGAAGGTGTAGTAGTTTAGGTGTGAGAGTACTGAGAGCTACCGGTATAGTACAGGTGTTCCTAAGGGAACAGCCAAGAGGCTAGTCTATACAAGGGAATATAGGCGGCAGCCCAATATTCTAACAATTACGGTTGGTTGTGCCGGTGCTTTTTTGTTTTTATTTGTTGGGGAGGGAGAGAAGGAGAGAAGAGATAAGCGGCTTTGGAGATTGATTGACTTGTATGGATACGGAGAAGAGGATAGTTGGTGACTTGATTTCAGTAGTTTTGACGTGGTTTGTTTGAGGGACAGGTATTTAGAAATGGGTGGGAGTATGAGGAATAGATTGAACATCTGCTTACTCAAATCTCATAAGGATATATTCGTCCAGAAAGGGTCACGTGGTAGCGTCAGAAGTTTCCTGTTTGCAAACAGTTTACGAGTCAGCCTTCGGCCAGTATTGCGGATCTACACTGATGATGTTCGTGTTTGTTTTTTTTAGGTTGTTTCTAGGTTTTTTCTAGATGCATGCGCGAATGCTTGCTCCGAGGTCCCACCTTATGCTTCCTCGAAGTCCAGATCTCAATCAACCTTAAATTCGAACGAGCCGTCTCGAGTATCAATCAACATATTGATCAAGCCGTCTGTCTGCCAGACCCCGAACCAGCGAATCCCAGCTACATCTCGATTGCAAAATTACTATTACAAGGCCATCTCCGCCATCCGATGATCCCTCTGACAACACTTTGAAAAACTCTACTTTCCTACGCATTGGACCCGGGGCATCATCCAAAAACAGCCAAGTGACCGACCGGCAACCGAGGCACTGCCCGACAAGCGGTGGTTCTCCGCAGTAGCAGAGTTTCACAACCACAGACAAATCATCATAATTGTGGAAAGCGATTTCTAAGCCTTGTCCCTACGATCGATCCTTCGTGGCCATATATAAGAAAGGAGACGTGTCCGCCTGAAGCAAAATGGTCAAACCGGTTCAACGCAAAGGCAACATCATGGCTCAATCTACATACACCTCCGTCGTCCTTGCCCAGCGCCCCAAGGCTCTCATCGTGCCGGGCGAGACCTTTACCCTGAAGGAAAACCCCATGCTCAGCGAGAAGGATCTCGAAGATGGCCAGGTTCTGGTTGAGACGCTGTACTTGTCGCTTGATCCGGCGATGAGGGGGTGGTTAAATGGTGAGTGAGATACATGCACACCACCACCACACGTGATTGCGAGTAACATCCCATAGACAAACGCTCGTACATCCCGCCTATCCAAATTGGCGCTGTGATGCGAGGAACTGTCATCGGAAAGGTCCTAGCAAGCAAGTCGTCGAAGTTCAGCGTTGGGAACTACGTTACGGCGCCTTCCGGGTGGTCCGAAATAGCGATTGTTAACCAGAAAGAGATCTCTCTCCTCCAGATCCCAGAGAACGGAAAAGTTACGGATTCTCTCGGGGTGCTCGGAATGACTGGTCTTACTGCGTACTTCGGCATCACAGACGTGGGACAGGTCAAGGCCGGTGATTTTGTGGTCGTGTCTGGCGCCGCAGGTGCGACTGGAAGCGTGGTGTGCCAAATCGCCAAGCTCAAGGGAGCAACAGTCTTGGGACTGGCGGGAAGCGATGAGAAGGTCAAATGGCTGAAGGACCTCGGATGCGATGATGCTTTGAACTATAAGAGCCCTGACTTCGTGAAAGATTTCAAGGAGAAGACACCGGATCTGATTGATGTTTTCTTCGACAATGTTGGGGGCCAAATTTTGGAGCTTGCGTTGAGCAGAGCGAAACCTCATGCACGATTCGTCATGTGCGGTGGTAAGTCTGCTCCATGCTTGGGGTATTTTCTGGCCAGGATCTGATTCTAGGTAGCTATCAGTCAGTACAACTCTGCTCAACCGGTTGGGCCAAAGGTACGTCGCACTATCTTATTCAGAGCCTGTCCGCGATATTAACCTTCCTCAGAACATTACCATGGTGATTACCATGCGCATCAAGTAAGTCTCAATCCGGCCTTCTGCGCCAATCTCTCCTTACGCCTCCTAGGATGCAAGGTTTTATCGTCTTCGACTATATTCCCCAATACCCCGCAGCTCGAGCCGAACTCGCGAAGTGGCTGTCCGAGGGTAAGCTGCAACGCAAGGAGACGATCATCAAGGGTGGTCTCAAGGCTGCCGAAAAGGCTCTCGTCGACCTTTACAATGGTGTGAACACTGGTATGTTTCTCCTGCCCGACCTGTAAAAGCGGAGAAACTCGAAGCTAATAGAAATCTGAAAATAGGTAAGTTGCTGGTAGAGGTCAAGTCGGAGGATCCCGAGAGCACTACTTCATCCAGGCTGTAGATTATGAGAATTACATACTTATAATAATCTATATGATGCACGATCCTCGGATGGCATTTTCCAACCTCTCCCCAATACGAAATACTGCAAATTTCAAAGTCTGTATGCTCTTACTCGATCTTTTTTTCATGCTCAGTACCCCGTTGCGAGATGTGGTCATGAACCTCGTCCAAGTGCTTATCTTATCCTTCAACTTCCTCGTCCGCTCACGATGAATCGTGTCAAGCTGCACCAACAGCAGGAATTCTGCGCGCTTGCGGCTTTCTTGGCATCGCAGCCCTCTCTCCCTCAAGTCGCTCAAACCCGCATTGATTATCATCTTTGCATTGCATTGGGGCAACATTCCCGGGGTCTCCGTTGCGTCTTCCATAGGTTCTTCCATTTTAATATCTATTCGGGACATGGTGGGAAGATATCGATTCTTTCTTGCTCTCTTTCTTTTCTTTCATCCTTTAACTATGATTTGACGCGTCGAATCTCTCAAGGAGTAGCTTGACTCGTCCCCTATACTCCCCCCCCCAAGAAAAGAGCGGGTGGAGATTTGATAAAGGTCCTTCAAAAATCAAATAAAAGAGGCCAGAACAGGATCCGATGTAATCATCTGGTGAGTGTGGGCTTCAATTTGTTGACTTAACCCTTCCTTTCCTTATTAACCGTTTTTTTACAGAGAAAAAAAAGCTATTGCTTGCTCTTAGGTAGGACCTTACCTACCTTTCGAGGAATTTCCTAGCATGTAAATAATTAAATGAATATTAGAATTCTTTCCCTTTCGATATTGTTCGCGTGTTTTCATATACGTTTCATTTCCTTATACAGAAAACGATAGCGGTATTTAGGAATTAACTATCAGTCGCGTGACTATGCGCAGCTTACTTACTTGACCCCCAAGGTTGTGATGAAGCGAGTGACCCGGCTGGCTGGAAAAAGCTCTCCAAGTTTCACTTCGCAGTCAGTGTAAACTAAGTCACTGCGCAACGAAATCCTATCCCGATCTGGACATTTACATTCTATATTCTTCGTGCGTGCTTGACTGCTTTTGCTGGTCTAGAAAGCTCCGAGAAGCGAAGGTCGCTTACTTACTTACTGCCTGGAGTTAACTTTCTGGACTTTTGGGACCGATCAAGCTGGCTTTAGCAGTGGGGGGTGCTTTTACGAGTTTGCAAAACCAATGATGTGATGCACACTACCTTAGTGGTGTCGTAGGCGCTGTATATAGAGCAAGCGCAGATAAACGACTCGCTAAGTGATGAGTGGTAGGAGGGGGAAGGAAACTTGTTTCTCCATTAGAAGAATCTCCCATTGCAATCCTGAGGATGTATATTGGTTCAAGCTTTGGGTCCCGACGTGTGCGTTTACCGATAGAATCGCTACCAAGCAGCAAGTATTTTAGAAGCGGCATCGAGGTATTGATTTCAGAAATCAATGCAGGACTGCCTTTCTTTGGCGAATGAACCTCTCCTTACCCAGGTTATGAAAAAAGGAGAGAAAGAAAATATTTTTTGATACTGGAATATGCATGAGAACCTTCCTGCTTCTCGACTACCTTAGCTTGGTGCTCCGTACTTGCTCTCTCCTCGCAGAATATACAAATCTATGACCATTTCGACGGCTCTGTGGATTTTTCGGGGCTCAAGGGATCCACCGGCTGCGAAAGCGAAGAAGTGACGAGTGTTAATACGCGACCTTCGAAGTGGGACAGGAAGGGATACTAGAAGAGTTTTCATTTCGCGCCTCAACCTGGCCCAGGATGCTTAAAACCAATGTGCAGACGGTTCCAAAACCACTTGAAGTATTTGATTGGAGAGTTGGATACGGCTTAGGGGGCTACCATTGAAAAGCCCGAACAAGATAAGCGAGCTTTTCCAACCCGGAAGGTTTAGTATGAGTCTTCATTAGTATTTTTCGTGCGGTATAGGGTTACATTACTGGTTACTGGAATGTGCATTGCAGCTCTGCTTTTGCACATCAGTATTTGTATCTAATTTAGATCGCATCCTTGATTTGGTTTAGTCTTATACTCATAAATTGTACAACCATCTTTAATAATTTGGTCACGATTTAACGGCTATCTAGTAACCCGAGCGTATGATGTCGGTGTTTATGCTCTTAAAGGAGTAAGCGGGCTACAACCTTCAATCCCTTGAAAGGCTGTCGGTATGAAACACGATAAAGGCCTTTGGTTGGATTGGGTTGTATTACAGTGGTAATCTCTTAGAGCTAAGGGGCCCTTAGCATTGATCGATGCTTCGAAGCCATTTACTCATTTCCTCGTGACCGATGCGATAGTCCAGAAATTTAAGGTTTTATTCAAGCATTAAACAAGCATATCATCAACCAATCACGTTTACACGAACTTACGATCGTTCCCCTTACATAGAAACGACTAAAAACAACTCCTTAAACAATTCGACAAGCAACCCGAACAACCCAGCAAACTTCACTGGAATTAAAAGAATGCTGTCTCTCCTAGCAGCTCAGGGATCAAGAGTTTCTGAATCACCTCAGCGACCAACCATGTCTGCATCCAGTGAGGTGGAGATCGTGTTCTGTATTTGTTTTGTCCCTGTATCTAGTACTTCTACCAGGCGCCCCTGTCACGTGGGTGCATCATGTATGGCCTGTATATAGACGAGTGGCTGGTTTCTCCCTGAACCATCATCATCAGACATATACATATACATATACATATAAATTCGAGTATCATACGAACGTCTTTCTCCTCCCCTCCCTTTTACCCACGATTCTATTATGATTATATATACATACATCTCATGATTCGCAGTCAGGTATATGTTGGAGCTCTTCCCTCCACACCAGCAACGCCAGAGAAGCTGCTAAACTGAAGATCTTGACGGACAACGCAGCAGCAGATAAAAGATACTGCAGGACAAGGCCGTGGCCGACGAGAGGAGAGTACAAGAGCTTCACGAGGTCACCATGGCTAGAGCAAAACGCCCCCGTAGTAGCTCCCGTGATGATGGAATCTGCAAACGACGACATTAACGAAGGCATGTTAACAGAAGCATCTAAGGCTGTTATCCCCCGACTCGATACCACTGAGAGAACCTACTTAGTCCAGATCTTTCTAGGGAAGTTCAAACTATTGAATTTTTCCCAACTAGAGTTTGTATCTAGTTTAGAATTCATCCTTGATTTGGCTTAGTCTTATATCTATAAACAATACAATGATTCTCAAAAATTGGGTCACTATTAAACGGCTATATAATAAGCGAAGCGTAAACCGTAGTTATTATTGTTATTGTATTTATTAACGTCGGGCGGGTATCTAAAACGCAATGCTTAGACCTTGGGGACCTTCCATAGGGTACGGCGACGTGCTAAGTAAAGGAATTATATACAAAGTACTATCTAATTGAGAATAAAAACCACTTTAAGGAAAAGCTTTCGTCAAATAGCTGAACACCTGTAAACCCTTTAAAAGCAATTCATAATGCTATGCGTCGAGTTTTCTTTCGACAACTGTCGAATACGTATAGCCTTACGAGCGGCCTCGATCCTTATAATATAAACATTGTTCTCTTTCGTCGTAAAGCTAAAAAGGTTTGCGTTCGTAGCCCTTAGATAGAGCTCGTGTGTTTGCAGAACGCTCTTTCGAAGGCGCAATACCGTGTTTTCGATCAGTCGAATTAAGCTCTTCTTATCCTATCTCTAACACCCGTTCCTTCTCTATCGCAAATCTTCCTAGTCTTTTTAGTCGGTATGCCCGTCAGGTATAGATCGTAGTCGGCGTGGTGTTCGAGAAGAAGCGTAAACCGTAGTTAGACTGAAAAACACATTTGATTTGATTTTAGTCTTTATTCATTAAATAGTTAAGTCACTATCAGCAAGCTAATTATGAAGTTGTCATTGATTGTGACTCACCCTTAAGTACCCAACTAGCGCCAGGCATCGACCCTATATAAGCACGGTAGTTTCCCCATCTCGGCCTTCATAAACTATCATTTTTCAAATCTCTGACATTTTCAAATCTCTGACATTTGCAAATCTATTGGCTTAGCAATTCATAATTGTAACTGAACCTCTTAACACAAAGGAGATACAATGAGGCTCTCTCGCTCAAACAGTGCTCCTCCAGCGCCTCAGCATGTGAGATCGAATAAAAATCCCTATCGACAAAAGCCTTGCTGACATTGATTTCTAGTTACCAGACGCATGTTCCCTGGATTTTCCCCTCGCTACCCGCAAGCCATCACGGAAGCTCGAAGATCTGTCTTTCGATATGGCTTCACAGCGAGTCTTCACCCCACAATCTAGCGAACCTGGATATACTATCAACTCGAAGCGCGGTATCCCCTACTTGCCCTGCACGCGGTATATGGCCCAGGGCCTGAACCTTCCCCCGAGAACCACGGAATCGGAAATCAGAGAAAATTCGGACGACTACGCCAACGCGATCTTGAAGTGCCGGAACAACCACATCTGGAACCAACACCTCCAAGACCCGACTAAGGGCGAGGGTATCAGCTACGATCAGGAGTTCGTGGTGCAAGCTCCAAAGTAGAAAACCACTCTCGATGCAATAGTATGGCAGTAGACTGACATGCAACAGCGCACTTACCGAGTTCCACCTCTTTCCAAAACTGCCCGCTGAGGTTCGGATAAAGATTGTAAGTTCAAGCCTCCTCATATCTTATGTTCCTTCCCCCCTCCCCTCAGAAAAAATCTCAGCTAACATTTTGAAAGTGGAAATTCGTAGCATTAACGCCACGCATCGTCCCAGTCGAGCTCGTCTTGCAACCGAATCCACCCAGTCCTCTGGTCGCCGGCCGACCCTCCCACAGCTTCTACCCGTACATAGCGCCCCGTTTCCGCTACCCCGCGGTACTGTGCGCCAGCTTCGAGGCCCGCAAGGAATGCCTGCAGTATTACGAGCTGCGCTTCATGTACGACCGACCGGGAGACACGGCGCGATACGCGTTCAACAAGCACGCCGACTACCTCTACTTCGGCGCCGACTACTCCCGATCCTGCGACGTCTCGAAGATCTTCTATGCCGATCTGGACGTCCCGCGAGTCGCGATCAGTCTTCCGAGCTTGGTGGGCGAGTTATAAATGACTCGCTACACGCCCTTTGTGAAGCGTTCCGCAAAGGATATACTGCTGGATCTGCACGGCCGGTATAATCCCCTCCACTCATTCCCGCTCGAGAGGCAGGCCGAATGTCTGGGTTTGAAAGAGGTCCGATTCGTCGTGCAGACCCCATACTCATATGTGGACCCCACGTCCGTTGACGCGAACGTGGTGTTCCATTCGACATGTTCGCACGGAGTCACTGACAAGCAAAGGATTTTGAGGGCGGAGCTCGCCAAGGTCGACAACGACCTGCCCGTCGGGACGGAGGCCAGAACCGGATGGGTTGGCGCCGATACGCCATCCTTCGAATTCACTTGGATATTATATGAGAAGGACAAGGTGTCTGTGGAGAGAAAGCTCTCAGGCCTGGAGGTCCGCAAGATAATGGGAAGTGGGCCCGAAATCCTCGGCAAGCTTGCGGAGTCCGCGGACTGCCAAGTTTCCTTTTTGGAGTCCGATCAGCAGAATGGGTATTCGTGTCAGTTCAGCATCCAAGGGTAAGTTCAGTCCATGAGAAGCCGTACCAGAATGGGATTTTCAGTATCTCGTACTGCCGGCAGCGATCTTTTGCTCTCGAGACGAGGTACTGACAACTTCTCCTAGGCCAGCGCGAGGAGTTGAGAGGATGAAGAGCGCTGTTCAAGAAGTTCTGGTAAGCAAATACACCGGACGGCTGAACGCTGGCCAGGAACCGACTATTTGTTTGCAGAACGAGATTTCCCGAGGCCACGGATGGTGGTCTCGTCACCGGAGGGAACAGTAGGCCGGCAGAGAAATTAAAGTACGACAGAATTTTCGCCTGCAGACAGGGTCTGGATGTAAAAGAAGGACGACTTGTCGTATTTAAAAGACAGAATAAGCGAAGCAGGGAAGGAAAACATTTATACCACATATGTTTGTTATTGCACCATCTATCAAAGCCATTTCTTTAACCGCTGGTTACCTTAAATATGATTCGAAAAAAAAAAAGGTATCGACTATCAAAATCTTAAAACGAAATGGTAGAATTTACGTGAATATAGCTTTTAAAGGTATAAAAAATGATGACGTATAGAGATCACGAGAAATACGGGTCAGAATCTCTTTCAAAATTGGTTACATTTTCTTGACCAAAAGTCGATTAAATTATCATTTTGCATAAACCGTACCATACAAACTGGGGTTTATATAAATCGGGTTTTACGCCACTTTATTATATGAACTGGAGTTCGACCAAACGAAGCCCTAAAAGGATAGGTCGATAGAGGCCCACTTAAGCGAACAGACGATTGCGTTGACTTGTGTAAAGAATCATGACGCATTAAAGTCACGAGAAGTACGGGTCAAAATTCTGTACAAATTCAATCGATTTCCTTGAGCCAAACGTCGTCTTAAAATCTCGATTTGTACAAACTGTACTACAGAAACTAGAGCTTCTACGGACCCAACGTTTGAGCCAGTTTTTACATACTGGCGTTGAACCAAACGGGCTCTAATTAATATCAAGTCAAGGAACACAATACTTGGAAAAAGCTTGATACAAATAAGATTGGAACGAAAACACTTCATTATATATTGAACTCTTGACTGAACAGGAAATATTGAAAATGAATTACAATTCAGTGAAAAGGGGACGGAGCTGCTGCTGCTGTCCAGGACTTGGTTAAATACTAAAAGGTATGTAATGTAATTCAAACGATCGCATATAAGTGATATTGAAAAAAACCATAAGATCTACTTCGTAAAGAAAGACAACTAACTAATTATGATATCATCTATCACCTGACCGCATCTCCCGCAGAACAGCAGCTGCGAAAACAACCCCTTTAATATCCAATTCAGATATAAACCCTATGCTATTCACATCCCCAGTGTACCATAAGTAGGAGCCAGTAAAAGGATTAAGAAATAACTCCAAGGATAAAATGATTATTCATTTATCAAGACATGGGATCAAGTTTCTTCTCGGAGCCTCGCCTGGAAACGCCGTCAAAGCCCGCGCCGACAAAAAACAACATCACAAGTGACAAAGTCCCCCTCTCCCTTCTCTTCCTTGCTCTTTCTCTACCACTCGACTCAACACACATATAGATACATACGCATACGCATACGCAATGGGCGTCATCCGAACCCTCTTCAGCACCGCCGTCCTCGGTGGCGCCGGCAGCGGTGCCGCATTCGCATTCGTAGGTTTTCAACCTCCCACTTCCCTCTCTCCCCCCCCCTCCCATCAAAACCCCCAAATTGAAATTCCCTTTTTGATTTGTTTGCGCCCTTCCAACAGTGGACGCGCAACTCCCACTTCGTCCCTCTTCCCCCCACCGACGCCATCTTCGCCTCGCCAGCCTACGCAGCCCAGAACCCCAACGGCAACCCGGTCACGAAGGACCTCTGCGTGCGCAGGGTCCCGCTGCGCGAGATCCGGCCGCAGCTGCTGGAGAAGGAGGGGAAGCTGGTTGAGGCGTTTTGCGCGGGGGTTTGGAGCGGTTATGGTATGTTTTGTTTTGCTGTTTTCGCTTATTAGGAGTTTTTGAGTTCTATGTTTTTATGTTTTATGTTTTTCTGCTTGTGTTTATGATTATGTGTATTTTTCTGTTTACTTTTTTATTATGGGTGGGGGGGATGGGTGAGATTATAGGCGCCTGCTAGCTGGTTGCTTGATTTTTTTTAACCTGGTATGTGTACTGTGAGGAGGAAGAAAAAGAAGAGAGTCCAAAGAGCAGGCTGGGCTGAGCTGGGCTGGGGAAGGCAGCTGTGCCGAATTTTCCCAATCTTACCCCATTACGAAATTCAACGCTGCACACACATTCATCTTCACGTTCATCTTCATCTCCATCTTCATCTCCATCCACACACACATCATAATTAACCCCCATTCCCCTCCAGGCTACACCCTCCAACGTCACTACCTATCCTCAAAATACCGCACCCCCAACAACACCTCGCAACAGCTCTGGGACGCCCCCTCCCTCCAAACCAGCACCTACCCCCCCGGCACCCAGATCAGCAACCACTTCGTCGTCGTCTCCAAGACGCCCACATCTATCGTCGTGCGCTGCGGCGACGCCCCCGCCGTGCAAGGCGTCCGGGCCTCCGACGGCTTGTTCGAGATGGGCGTAGAAGTCCATCCCGAAGGCGAAGGCGAAGGCGACGAGAAGGGAGGCGTAGCGGTCTTTCGTCTCAAGAGCGTATTTTTCCAAGGGAGTGGCACAGCGAAGGACAAGCCTATGCCGAACCATATAGAGTTCTTGCATCGTTTGTATACGAAGGTGTGGATGGAGACGGCGCTGCGGAATGTCACGTTATAAGTACAGTACAGCACAGTATAGTAAATTCAGTGTGCGAGAGCAGAGAGCAGAGCTTTTTTTTTATTCTTTTTACTTACTTACTTAGGGCCCATTTGGCATTCGTTCAAACTCAAGTACCTCCGTATATACAAACCTGGGCCTACTGCACTGCGATTTTACACAAACCGAAGCGTACCTTGGTTACCGAATATTTAAGTCTAGCGCTAAAATCGATCCGTACACAAACAAACTAGCTTGCTAGCTTGCTTGCTACAAAACTACCTATCTATTTCGCCACCCACCTCATACATACATGCAAATCCCTTACAAACTATACAATCAAACAAACTATGTAATCAATCAACTCTCGAGATTATTATATCCTATACGAAGTATTCAAATCATAAGTTAATACGCCACACTACGCTACGCTACGCTAGCCAATCTACCAAGCCGCCAAGCCCAAGCCGCCAAGCCCAAGCCAATCTATCAAATCTCAACAGCTTGCTCAATGCTTAAATCCACCTCTCAACCAATCCACTTCAAATCAACCAATGCCCTTCCAAACCCACAAGATAACCAAAATACCCTCACTCATACGGTACTTAAACCCATCCCTTTAAACCCCTCCATCCATCTAAGCCCCCCCCCCCCATCCATTTCAAGACATACCACATACCACAGTACAGCCCTAACACCTTCTAATAATTCCCGCCTGTCGAGGGTCGCTTCTAAAGTTTTCATAAATCTCCCTCACCTTCAAAAAACCCCTGGCTCCCACACCTAACCCTCAGGCGGGAATTATTACGCCTGGGAGGCAGGGAGTATCATTTATGATTCTTTTTTGTATCAAAATAGATAAATCACGTACTTCGTATTGCAATGCCGGCCCTCCGTCCTCCCCCTCCAAGGGAT